TTGAATTTAAATCATTTCGTTAATTAATAACACACAGATTAAATTTGAAAAAAAAATTAAATATCTTACACTTTGCCAAACAGCAACACTCTGACGCGTGGAATACAAAACATTTTATTTCGGAGAGTGGCTACATGTTCTAAATCGCTGAGTATTCTGATTAATTTTCAAGCATCTTACGATTTTTCGAATGGCAACACATTGTTTTAAATGGCGGAGTTGTTTCAAAATTTTATCAAGTTCGTTAAAAAATATGAAATAAATAAAAACCATGTTCAAAATTCAAGCTTCAAGGTTCACATGCTCGAGTGGAGGATTTTGTGTTCAAAATTTGATATTGTTTTTACACAATGCGAAGTTCCTACATGCATGCTTGCATAAAAAATTTGCTTTTTATTCTTTGCCTTTTGTTAAGACTCTTTATGTATTTATGTACATGCATGCATATATGTACTGGAGCGTGCGTACGGGTTCGTAATGAGCTAAATGCAAAAGTCCAATGAAAAGTGAATAAAATTTATTCTTATTCCAAAAATAAATAAAAAATGCTTAAATTTCCTCAGAGATAATCGTACAATATCGCAATATCTCACAGTAAGTTATATTTTAAACAACTAAAACGTTTTACAGAACACAATTTAAAACAGAGAAAGCTAATCCGATTTCACGGCGAATTCGTTACAATCAATAACAGCAATAAGTAAACAACTTTGAACAACTTTGTAAGCAACTGAATTGAGATGTTATCCTTCAGCTTTTATAAGCTTTTTAATCACGCACGAGTATATTCTGGTATTTTCTCAATTTTTCTGGATAGCAAAACAGCACAGTTACGAGATATCTATTTATTAAAATGTTAAATGCGCGTGCTCCTGTATTTTAATTTTTCCGGCGTAGCTTTCTCTTCAAATAAGTCTCATACTGAATTGTACGGGAATATAAAACAATTTTAATTTATATTACTAAAAATAGCTAAATAAATACAAAAACCGTAACAATATATACATACCTACATACAGACAGACACACAGATTTTTTTAATTATAGAGATAATTTAATAATAGAGATTTTCAAATTTCCATTCTAAAAAATCTGCAGCAGCTGTTATTAATGTTTGTAGCATGCAAAAATTTCTCGGAATCCACACAACTAAGATAAGAATTCTCGAACAAGAAAGCTGTTCAGGAATTCTAAACCGAGATCTAGATATCGTCTGGCTCCACTCCAATTCTCGGGCAGAAAAATTGCTGCCATGATAATGCACCTCGATAAGGATAGGAAAACTGAGAATGATAAATGAGAAATTAAATGAGGAAGTTTAATTTACATTACTTACTTTCCTCGAACATTTGGCAAGATGTAGAGAATTAAACAGGCGAAGTATCATGATGACAGTGACAGAAGACTTGCGATTGTAAAAGTTTAAGAATATAAACCAATTTTACTCCATGTTTTGCATGCTTTTTTATATTTGCTTGCTGTGTATAGCAGATAGTTCAAATAAAACATTTGGGATATCGAAAGCATGTCAAAACATTTGAACAGAATTTAATTATTGTTAGATTACTAATAGAAACACGAGTTTGCATCGTTGCACTTTTCATTCTAGTTTTTTGTCATTCGCCAAAATGCAATATATTCTTTCAAATTTAAATTTATTATTTAACAAACTAAGCAGTTCTCAAGAATATTGAATTTTAGCCCATAGGGCGTTAGCCTAGAAGAGCTATTAATTTCGTTTTGGCATTTTGCGTTAGTTCACTATGAATGTCGGTTCACTTTTTCAAATAGTTGCCACCAAATATTATCGCCCTGTGTTATATTTAGAGAAATTAAATAATGAAGAATCTACATAAATGCGTGTATATTTCTCGCATTGGGATAAAACAACGGTACCTAGAGCTATCAAATTCTGAATACCGTAATTTTTCACTGAATATGGGTACTAATTTGTAATTTATTTTATTAGCGATTATATTTTGTACACCTTACGAATTGTGAATTAACAAAACTCAACGATTTAGCGAACAATGGCAAACACTGTACGGGGAAAAAAAAAATCTCCAGGTCAAGGGTAACACACAAAACGTTAAAAAGCTCCTTGGACATAATTTAAAATTCGAAACCTTAAGATTTTTTTAAAATTGTATTTATTATACTTAATTATCTTTTATTTCATATTGAACTAGCCTCAGATTATATAACATATATGTTTAAGTATGTATTTTAGTGATTTGGATAAGAAATAGATACTGTTGTCATAAATTAAAATTACGGACTAAGTTTAATACGTTGAAAAATTGGTGAGAAAAAAATAAAAAAAATGTAAAAAAATAGTCTTAATAAAAATATATTAAATTTAATTTTTTTTTTTCATTTTCAAAACATTATTTGCAGATGTGCCATACTGCAGATGTAAGAAAATATGAAACAAAAAAGGAGAAAAACCAGGAGGAGAGAGGAGGGAGGGCGTGCGAGGGGGTGGTTACAAAGTAACTAGAAACAAGGGAAGGAAGTAAAGATCGGCGCGCGTCTCTACACTCGCGTCTAAATCGATTATTTCGCCAATCACGCACGTATTATAATTAAACAAGAAAAAAAAACCTAATCGAAAACGCCGTAAAAAAAAAAAAAAAAAAAAAAAAAAAAAAAAAAAAAAAAAAAAAAAAAAAAAAAAATCTTTACGCATCCAAATCACAACTGCTTTATAAACATGTACAAACTTCACGCCTTCGCTGTTGTACACGGTTATAGAGCTAAATTTCGACACGATTACACAGATATGGTTCATCTGATGAGACCATGGCGGTTCTGGGGTATTTTTGAGTACCCCAAGCGGTTTTACTTGTCAACATAAACTTGGCGCTGAAGCCATAATCTTTAACTTCACTTGCGAGCTTCTGGGAATATCAGAGGCACTTGACATATATTTCTGAGTCTTCCCGTTTCTGAGCAAGCAGAAGGATTAGTCATCAAGGAATCCTGAATTGAAGCTTCCTGATCACCAACGGAATCCACTTTCGCCTAAACGAAATTCAAAATTTAGGTAAGGTTTGCATTCTTTAATGGTTGCCAGCGCATGCCAACATAACAGGTAACAAGAAAACAGATAAACTGGCAAAAGAAGCTCGAAATCTCAACAAAAATGATAATATGAATGTCATCCTCTCGTGAGCAAATACCATGGCCAAATACAGACTGAAGGACATTCATTTCCAATAAATCACCCGCTCCGTAACATCATTGAAGATCGAATTATAACTAACATCATCGTCAGGTTTAGAACTGGTTATCACAGAAGATCGGAAATTGACAAGGAGGTGGGAAAACGTACAGAAACTGTGATAACTGCTCGAACACAAAATTCACAACTGCACATATTTTTGATTGTCTGGCCATCCTTGCTGAATTGTTAAAAATTGGGTTCTTGTTTAAGAGACCGAACCTCTACGATGATAACATTTTGTAGATTGCCAGGATTGTCATCTTCGCTCATGGCATTATTTAAATAGGCCTTTATCATAGACAGAACAACAACGACATCAAAGCATGTGCAATACTTGGTACCTGCGCAACAGTTTATTGAATTAGTTACAATTCAATATCGAAAGCTTTGGTTCTATCCACTTTTCACACAGTAAATTACAGTATTAAGTAGTCATAGAACAATCAGTCACCTCAGCATAAAAACGCCCAATGAAACCAGCAGTTTATAAATGTAAAGCATTCATTTGAGATAAAAGTTTTCGAAAGATAAAGTTTTGTCTCATTGCAGTGTAGAAAGCAGAAGCTAAAAAGGAAAATTGTCTTTGCGTTTTGTGAGAAATTTATTTATTTTTTTTTTTGGAATACCAGCTTGATGTGTCTTTACTATTACAAGCTTTTGAAAAGTTCCAGTTTTGATTCCACTAGATTGCATTTTAAAAACTTTCAGTTGACTGCTCAGCGGGTGTGAACTTCTAATGATTCTGCAGTTTGTGAACTGGGTGCATTAATGAACTCTTCGTGAACTTCGAAAAAGTGTGCGGTTTTGAACGCTATTCCTCTTTATGAGAGTTAGATTCTGAATTTTGCATTAGCAGCAAGCTTCCATTTCTTATCAATAATGCTTTAAAGAGATTAAAAGGCACATTGAAGGATAGTGTTTAAATTATGTAAAGAATAAACGCGATGAAATGGGAATGGAAAAAGCAAATTATTTTGAATTAGAATTAAATTATCACAAAAATGTAAAAGAACTAAAAGAGCTTTAAAATATTAAAGTATGTTATACATATATAATTAGATGTTAAGTAGCATAATTAATATTTATTTAAATGAAATTCATAAAGTCAGGTTGTAGAGACGTTAGGTATTTGGAAGCAGGAGACGTGAAAAATGAGCAAAACCCTCGCCGGGAATCGAACCACGGACCTCTGGAATACGCACCCAGCATGCAGACCACCCCACCACGAAAGCACGCTAAGAAGGCGGGAGAAATACCTTATATGGTGTCCAAAACACCATTAACTTCTATTTTTTTTAATAAAGCAGTATGAAAATGTTAGCTTACAGTCTACGCCCTCGAAATAAACCTAAAAGCTTCGTAAATAAATAACTAGATATAAAATATTAATTTAGTTTAATTTAAAATTAAAATTAAAATAGAAGCTTTTAAAACTTAAATAACCTGAACATTTGAAAAGTGGCAATTACACAAATTTTTTAAAATGTGTCGAATTTTTATATTTTTTAGAATTTTGTTTAAATATTTGTATCCAGATTCCAGTTTAATACCTTAAACAATATTCAATTATATAATTATGATTAGCCTAGTAATATAAGAAATAATTCTCAGCAAGCAATTCAAAGCATAGCATTTAAAATCGTATATTTAAAATGAGATGTTAAATACAGCAAAGTTCAATGGCTGAAAAAAAAAAAAAAAAAAGAAAAAGGAAAAACTGCTATGGTATTATTTCATCAGAAATTAATGCCACGAATGACTTGTATACTTACTTAAAAACAGCAGAGGGGCAACTCAAGGCCTAGTTGCATATTTATTTCACTGGATCGCTTGTTCACAAGATTTGTGACAAATATTTTCCTCCTGCAGTTGAATTTTTCATTTTGCCAGGACAAGTCCAGTACTGAAAGCAATAATATTCAGCATGATGAGAAAACCTCTTTATTTTAAAAGGTATATCATATTAAGGCTAATAATTAAGAAAATAAACAGTTACTGAATCTTAAGACTTTTCCTTTTTCTCCGTGGTCATTTAAGTTTTTATACGTGTTATTAACAAAATTCGGTTCTTATTTATCGCCTTCCCGAAATAATAAAAGTTGGAGTAAAAATGTTCCTTAGAATAACATATATTTACCAAAGACTTCTTAGGGTCTTCTTCCTCCCCCCCCGTCACAAAAATCTTCCTTCTCCCCAAATATCGTGCAAAATTTTTCTGAAACCGCAGTATTGCGCATTGGCCCTTCTTTCTTATGGGTACAATATGTGCCTTATGAACAGACACTTCTGACATTTTGTCGCCATCTCCAAGACAATCGTCGCCAGCCTTGGCGCCTCCCTATGCTAAGTGCCATTACCCCCAGCCCCGTATTTCAACAGCAATCACCTTTGTCCCCGTTTCATAGTTCCCTCCTCAAAAATTTCTCCATCCCCCGTTCCACCATTGAGAAGCTGTCTTTGCATTGTTGCACCTCTTTGGTTTTTACTTACAAATAGTTCCCCTTCTTTTATTTTCCTCCCTTCCTTCTATCATTTCTGAGAAGTAAATTCCTTTTCCTCTTGCAGTGACATTTCTTTTACCTAAGTGGCAACATTAGTCGCAGGAATTGCTTCTTAGAATTTTGGTCAGGAATGTTAACTGTATACACTACCTTAAAAATTTCATAGTTACAAGCAGGAAGACTAAGAAAACAGGAAGACTATTAAGTTTAGGAATATATATACCTACAATTTAGTTTGTGTTGCGTTCTCTATCGCGACATTTATCATTTACGTGATCTAGAAACTGACAGTTTTCAGAGATATTGCTATTTGATTTGACATAAAATCTTAAATTTAATTGAACACTGCTTAAATAACTGAGAGATTTATTATCAATACATATTCTTATAAATAACATCTCTCTTTATTTTTAATAAAATTCATATGATAATAATATATTTAAATGATCGTTTTTATAAACATTTATTGGTAAAAAATGCTGTAATTTATTGGTAAAATTATTTTATTATTTATTGGTAAATTACTTTATTATTTATTGGTAAAAATATTGGAAAAATGTTATTGGTAAAAATTTTTAATAATAAAGATAACGTTTCCTTTAGCTAATACAGCTATTTTAAATATTAGAAACAACGAAGAGGTATTGCATACACAGGATATGCAATAGCTCTTCTTTGTTAGATGGCATTTCTCGGAAAAATTATTCTACTGTTAAATCGGTTAATAGCCGATTTCAAATAGTTATTTTTGAGAATGCTTTAAAAGGTATTAAAATTTAGTAAAGATGATAGAAAGATATTCCTTTAACTAATCCCAAATTTCTTGTTTTCTTTTTAAAGTAACCTGTTAGTTTTGCTATTAGCTGATGCTTCTTCTTTCAATAGAATAATTTTAAACTTCAAGACTTCACTGCTGAAAGAAACAGATCTATCTTTCTTCGAACTATCCTCACTAATTTTTTTGTAGCTTCATTAGACTTTACAGTCTACTTCAACTGATTTCGTTCACTCAATTTTTTTTTTAATTTCAGTTATGACTAGCATGATCATTACAAATATTAGAAGAAGTTTAGGCAAAAGTAAAAAATGATTTACATTTTACAAGAGTTGGATTAAAAGTAATGGATATGTGTCGATAATTACACAAAGACGATGAATACAAATATTTACAATCTTTCAGTATCATTGTCTGCCATGCCTATTGCCTTCAATCCAATTAATGGATTAGCGCGCCCATTTCTATTAATCCCTCGCAGCAATCGCCCTGTTGAACCTAAGTACTCGCCTTTGTATTATTGTAATGAATAGCTCGAAGTAGTTCTTTATTTTGATGAAGAGGGCATACTCATACGAGCTTATATTGGGCAAGCGTGAGGAATGTTCCATACCTCTAAGGATGGTATCCGTTGCCAACAAATATCATCACTTTCTCCTGAGTGGCTGTCGCAGATGATGTCTCACTCAAGAGCCGAATCCCATCATCCTCCACGACAGTGTCATGATGTGCGAAAAAATGTCACCCGGAAAAAAGGGAAACGGAAAGAATGCCCCCGGAAAATAAGGAACGGAAAAAATGTCATCCGGAAAATAAGGAACGGAAAAAAAAAGGGCTCTAAAATCTCGCCAAATAATGTCGCCAATCGGAGTTGGGGAACCTGCCAAATTCTAATTTAACCGGCAGGGTTATAGCGGGCTCTCTTGAGGGAGGTTTTAAGGATAAGACTTTGAGCTGGCTGCAGCCGAGCAAGGTGATTTCGATAGCAGATTTTTCCAACTTGCCTGCGGAAAAATCGTATGTTCTCCCCCGCGTTTGCTTCACCCGTTTCATTTAGGAAACCGACCCACTCCTGATGGTGAGAGGTTTCGAGAGCTCTCCATACTCGTCAGATTTGATAACATGTTGTACTGTGAATCTCCTCTCCGGTTCCTAACAGGCGGGAGTTCCTGGCAGGGTGACGGTGAGAAGTTCCGAGAGCCCTACGTACTCATCAGATTTGATAACCTGTCGTACTGTAAATCTCCTCTCCATAATGAAAGAACCACCGGAAGGCATATATTAAAACAGTGGAAAGGAAGTTATCCGTGCTATAGGGGAATTGCTGCGGAGCGAGGACATCAATAGAAGTCGACGTGCTGATGGTGTACGACGTCTTCCAGTCCTTTGATAGGAGGTAGCAAACATGGTAGAACGATTATTGCTATAGCTTTTACGTATTCGTGCAGTAAAGTATTTTAGGAACTACTGACCTATTTCCACTACTGTTTATCTAATCCTTGTAGATATTGCTTAATTTTTCCACTCTTATGTGTATTAGTTTTACGGCTATTGCTTTCAATTTCCCTAATGTCACCTTTCGTAAAGGATTATAAATCCAATGTTAACTTGAAGTTCAGGCTAGGAGAAGGATCAGCAAACTTGATTTATTTAAAAGGGATCAAATAATTTAACCTCAAGCAGGAAATCTGCTTATACCTAAAATACTTCGATTTTTAAATATATTATATTAACAATATTGTAATTGCATATGTATAATTATATGATTCCAGTTTAGTAATTTATGAAAAAATGTCTGAATACATTTTTTACTACTTTTATTACTGATTTGTTATTTTAAGGAAATTTTGAATAACGAAATAAATTATCTTGATTTACAAATTTTGAATTACTATTCTGCACCTTTGTATTTTATCTCTGAATCGCATTTTTTCATGTGTCTAAATCCTTCTTTTCTAACATTTATAAATGAATTTGTGTGTCATTGTTATTTTTAATAATAAATTAGTTGAAATACTTATATTTTAATAAAAAAAATCATAAAATAAATTAGGAACTAAAATCAGGAACATAATTTTTCATATAGCTTCCTGGAACAGAGATTAAAATATTCTCTTTACAATATTCATCTACAATTTTTTATCACTAATAATAAAAACTCTTCACGTGCTTGATAAATAATGTAAAAATAAAAGTTTATATCTTTGAAAATGCAATTAAATTAATGGGTAATTAATTTTTCTATTTAAACGGATATCTTTGGAACTTGGCATATAAGACGGTATTTAGTACATTTTAAAGAAAATATAGAAAACGCCCATTTAATGTCTTTTTATTATTCCTGTTTTAAAAAACGGCGAAGAGTCAAATTCTGTTGTTAAATGAAGCTATGTGTTAAAAAAAATCGTTTCGCCTTTAAATTTAACAAATCTAAATCGCATTTTGAAAACCTCCCTACCCCGCACATTGGATTGTTATCCCCAGAAAAAGTTTGTGCATAATCTGACCTCTATAGTTTATCAGCAATTAGTATAAAAATCAGCTACAAACTTTTCACCAAATACCACTCCTGAGCTAAATAAGGCTGGTAAATAAATTATATAATATATATATAATATCTGCAATATGACTGAAAGACAAACATATATATATATATTTAATCGAAATAGAAATGAAAAGAACAAGTAATGGGACGTAAGAACCTATTTGGTATTATAAATATTATATATATATATATATATATATATATATATATATATATATGTTTGTCTTTCAGTATATTGCAGATAAGTTATATAATTTACAGTCTTTCAGATTTTTAACTTCTACATAAATATAAACTATGAAAAGTAAGCTTTAAAAGGAATCATTTCATAAAATTTTGTCAACAAACTAAAATAAAATTGTCAAGAATAAACTACTTTTCATTTGCGTTTTAATTAATGAAAATATGATTTTCTGTCAAAAATTATTAAACATTTTAGTAATGTTTCTGAACTTTTTACATTAATTGTATTTGTCCCTATCAATCAATTTTTTTTTGGACTTCGAAATACTTTCATATTAGAAAGTAATCTCGATGCTCTGAATCACTTTATATTTTCGAATTTATTTCACGGTCTTCAGCCAAGCATGAGTCTGAGACCATCAAATGGATTATTACTAATAAAAACTAAATAAAATAATAAAACTAAATAAAAAAATATAATTTCAAAAAAGAAATCACTCGTGTATTCTTGTATGAAAAGAAAATAAAAAAAAATATTTCTCTTGAAAAAAAAGTGCCATGTCCATTTCTCTTTACTCTGAGACTTTTCGTCTGAAGTTATCTAGAAATAAAGCTTAAAATATTTTACCATTTTTACAACCGCATAGTAGTTCTAATTATTCGAAATATTTCAAAATGAATATAAATTTATATACAAATCGCATTTTTACTGCCTTGTACGACGTAAATTGTTTGCAATCGCGAAAAATTCTTTATATCATATATCAAGGGAAATATCAATTTCGACTATTTTTTGCGTGACGTCTGTATTCACGAACAGAATAAAGGACTCTTTATTCCAAAACGGACTGTAAAATGGATTTTTTTCTTGACGTCGTGTCCACATATGTCTCGCATAA